TTTTTTTTTTTTTTAGCGATATCTGCTTGGCTTAACATTGCTTTCTTAGTTCGTCTAAGATGGTGTCCACTGTCCATTCAAATGTCTTTTCAATATTCCCATCAGCACTCACATCACTCTGCACCTTAATATCCTCCTTTTCCAAAACATTGTCCTTAAACTTTCCCTCTACATCACCATCCTCAAACATCCAAGCATGCTCCTCCACGTAGTTAGGCCAGACAATCTTGTCAACGTAACCCGGGGGATCCGCCCAGAAGCCTTCGAGAGTAACGTATCCATCTCTAGCCTCTCTTCTCGCCTTGGCCTTTTCATATGTTGTTCTCAAGAAGAGCTTGATATCTAAGTTGGGCTTTATAGCAGCCATGGAGGGTGAGTAGAGAAGAAAGCCGTCGAGGAGACATAGACGAAGGTTGTTGCGGAGAGGATGGTCTGGTCCTAGAGCAGCGTCGACCTTGGCGCGCTGAGCAGCGATTGTAGCTTCTGAGACGGGGCACTCGCCAACAGAGTTTTTATCTTCTTTAGAATCGAGAGTGGGCTATGATGAGTTTGAGTTTGAGTCATTCTAACGTATAGTCAAGACATGGGACTTACAGGAAAGGCAGCGTGTTGACGGATATAAGCGAGGGATTCGGCCATGGCAGGGATATCGAGTGCCCCAGCACAGTCCCAGTCTAGAAGACCATTCTTTGTTGGTAATCTGAATTGTCAGTCAAGATTCAGTTATAACTAGCAAGATCACATACTCATTCTCGGGTCTATAAAAGTCATCCTCATGAAGAATAAAAGTGTGTGGGAAAATGTCCCGCAGCAGCCTTGCAAGAGTAGTTTTCCCACTCGAGGAACATCCTGAGACTCCTACTATGAGAGCTTTGGTTCCGCTCATAATGCCAAGTTATTGAAGGTGAATAACGTGTAACAGAGTTGAAGTTTTGGTTTTGTTTGTGAGTTGCTTTTGATGAGGTTCAAGTGTGGTTGGACGAACTGGGGACCCCACGTAAGGTCCCGACGCATATGCAGGGGAGGGCTTGATAGTGGCGTAAGACGCTAAGGATGGAATTGCATGGGTTTCTTTGGTAGAGCTCGATTTTGGATGCTCTTGGCATGTATATAATGCCTCGGAGCCGCCGTGTTAAGATTGCTATGCTATCCTATAACAATGAGTTATCTCCTGAGTTCCTAACTACTTATAGAGTATGTTGACTATGCTCATGCAGTCTATTGTCAAGATAGAGTCTTGACACCCTCTCGACTACCGGCGAATCTTTCCCCAGTTGAGACTAGTCGAACAGCTGAAGAAGACGAACCACAGACATCATCCGTCACATCGGGTCAAACGACTTGCTGAGAAGAAAGCTACCGCTCATTAAGATAAACATGTCTCGACGTGCGACAACACTTTGCTACTATTGGTACATTCTCTTGCCAAGACGTGCAACTTGACTTGTCCGAATTAGACTTGTGCTTAGACTTAACTTGGGCCCGAGTCAAGGGATGTGAAGCAAGGGAAGGTTTAATATGTGCTGTACCCGTGTAAGTCGAGACCAACAAGAAAAGATCCAGTTTGCTACACCACTGTTCCTTTCGTGCATATGCGGTGATTGTTCTTGGCTTCATAGGCCTTTTATTTGCCTCTTCGACATTGTCGACTGTGATTCGAGCTCGAGGACTCTCAGCTAAATGTGCCAAGATCTCAAAAAGATGTGCATATGAAACAAATTCGAGTCGACACAAGATTCCAACCAACAAATTGGCCATTTCACCCAAAAATCCCGATCGATACATACCAGACGCCTCTCCTGTACAGACGTGTCTCCCTTGAGAACAGTCCCTTTCTCCCCTCCCCTATTTAAAACATCATGGGACAACTCTCGCAGTTTCTGCCACCACCAACAAAAATGTTGAAGCCTTCATCTTCGATTCTGGAGAAAGCGCGGCCCCTCAGGAGGAGGGTAGCTGAAAAGCTCGAGTGGGTGAAGGCACATACGCCACAGGTTGTCAAGTCGCGCGCATTTCAAAAGGCGGCTACCATTGTTGCTGCGTTCACTCTGGCGATCTCGTTTATCTTTCTTACGGCCAAGTTGACGAATGCAGCGTGGTTTATACCAAAGGTTATTCAGAAAATCGGACGGTATCCGACATGTGAGAGCAAGGGGATCAATGGGACGAGAGATATCTGGGATGTGTCGAGGCACAAATACGAGAACCTGCGAGATGATAAGTTCACGTGCGTTCACAACTCCTCATGAACTCGAGCCTTGACAAGTTGCTAATGTGATCTTGGTAGTATCGCTATGCAGACTTACCAGCGACCCAAGGAACTTCAAGAAACTCTCGACATGATCCTAAGCGAGGAAGTCCCTTCACTTCTCGAGATAGTTATCGTCTGGAACGATCTCGAAAACTACCCCCCAGAGGATTACGTTTCCAAGTACGGCGTTCCCGTTCGATACCGAAAGTCGAAGCGCAACAGTCTCAACGAGAAGCTCTGGCCTGACCCCGAATACAAGACTCAGGCCATCTTGCTATCAGACGACGACGTCTACTACCACCCCGACGACCTCGAATTCGTCTTCCAGACATGGCGAAAGTTCGGCAGAAACCGAATGGTTGGTGCCCTCGCTCGATGTACACCAGTCGATACGTTCGGATACCATCATTACACATTCTGCTCAAACAAGAAGGGTCAGGACGACTACAACATGGTCCTGACCAATCTTGCCTTCTCACATATTTCGTTCCTCGACTACTACTCGTCCAACGATACCATCATGACGCAGATTAGAGACTATGTCGACGAGGGTTTCAACTGCGAGGATCTTGCGTTAAACTATGTCCATGGACTACTCACCGGCGAAGGACCTCTTCTTATCAATGGACATGAGAAGTATGTCAACTTTGTCCCTCGTGTGGGAATTAGCATGAAGAAGGGTCACATCAAGGCACGAAGTGCTTGTCTCAATGACTTTTCCAAGATGTTTGGATGCCATCCCTTGGTCGACGAGACAGGGTACATCCAGCGTGGTGTGCTCGTATTATGAGAGGTCAATATGTGTATAAGAAGTGTGTATAGCAATTTTCTCAGACGTTGGAACTTCGAACGGCTGCGCCGGGAACATTTTGTGTTATCATAGATGGCATTATTGGTTGAATGAATGATAGAACGGAAAAATAAAGGACAAGTGCATAATTTCGCAGGTTTCGAAAACATCATCGAGATGGAAACTGAAACGTCCTTGAGATTTTCCTCTACAGAGTCATAGCTGCCCCACGTGATGTAACCGCCAACCTAGCTCCATCACCAAACCACCAAACTTCGTCACAAGCTAAACCAGTTAATTCTGTCAATTAACCCTCCCTTATATCACCATGGACCAAGGCCAGCAGACAGGAATCATCATAACCACGGCCATCTTGACCGGCCTTACAGGGTACGCCCTGGGTATCTGGACAATCCGTGGCTACCTCATCTCGCCGTCCCTGGTCGAAGAGCGTCGGCGCGCGCTGCACGACCCTGTCGAGAGTGACGAGAGCGACGTTGACGAAGACGATACTGTACTCGACCATGCACCTAACTGGGCCAACGGCGCCGATGCTGATCGCAAGCAGGGCTTGAAGGCTGCAGAGGAAAAGAAGGAGCCTGTTGTTAAGGATAACGGCGAGGAGTGCAAGCTTGTTCTTGTCGTGCGAACAGATCTTGGCATGACAAAGGGTATGTATAAAAGTATCCTTGAATTGGTGATGCAAAAGCTAATTGAACGTTCGCAGGCAAAATCGCTGCTCAATGCTCCCACGCCACCCTCGCATGCTACAAGTCCCTCGTCCGCGCCGCCCCCAACTCTCCCCAGGCCCAAATCCTCAAGCGATGGGAACGTCTCGGCCAGGCCAAGATTGCCGTGCAAGTCAAGAGCCAGGACGAGATTCTCGAGCTCCGACGCAAGGCTCGATCTCTGGGTCTTACTGCTGAGGTGATCCAGGATGCTGGCCGAACACAGATCGAGGCAGGTAGCATGACAGTGCTGGGCGTTGGACCTGCTCCCCGCAGCATGGTCGACCAGGTCACTGGTGGACTCAAGCTACTTTAAACAACGATCGATGATGAGGATAGAGGCGTCAATGGGTGTATAAATACGAAGACATGCACGGGATTACGAAATTTGGGTCCGGATTCTTAAAAGTATTACGGTTATAGACATTCAAGCGGAGCTTTGATAGATAAAAAACAACACTTATCAAACTTGTGAAAATCGTATTTCCTGTAATAAAGGGTATTATTCGCATTTGTACATGAAAGTCTATTACTCCTTTTTGGCAAACCTCGACAACGCCGGTCCCAGATCCGCCTCCGCCTCCTGCTCCTTCTTGTTCTTTTTGGCCTGCTGCTCGTTCCAAATCTCGTCCACATGCATTCTCTTCTCGTCGATAATGTTCTTCTTTCGCTGCTTGCGCAGGTACTTCTTGAGCGCACCGTTCTTTCCTCTTGCTCGCTTGCGGATCTCCTCGGCGATATCTGCAGCTGGAGCATCGAGGTCCTTCTCGGCAGCGCGCTCCTTTGCGGATCGCAAATCCAGCTGTCCGATGTACTCGGGGTCTAAGGCGATCATATCGGGCTTCAGCTTGTTGAGCAGACCCTTGACTTCGGACTCCTGTCGTTGCTTGACAGTCTCGAAGGGGTTGACTTCCAGAGCGTCGTAGTTGGCTTCACCAGCACCAGGGACAATAATGGAAGAGAAGCCAGAGTCGTGGCCGATACCGAGAACATCTTCGAAGGGACACCATTTCACGCGCTCCATGCGCTTACCCTCACCACCCCAAGCCATGTAAGGGCTCTGAACCTTTTCTTGGACAGGGGCGTTCTTGTCGAAGAGACCCTTCCAGATGGTAGTTTGGGTACCCCAACCAACAGCTGTCAAACCGGTATCAGAGATTGAGACTGATGAAGCTGGCTGGCGCACAAAGTACTGGTTAACCTCGCGCAACATTCTGAGATCCCAGACTGCCATCTTGCGATCTTGGCCAGCAGAGACCATGTATCGACCTTCGCGATCAACAGCTACATCCCGGACGGGTCCTCGGTGGGCCAGCAACTTCACAAGAGGATCTGAAGAGTTGGGAGACCATAGTGTAACTGTTCCGTTCTGGTGACCGACGTGTAGAATAGCGTTCCAGGGGTTTTGTGTGAGGGAGCAAGGCTGGCCTAATCGGGTAGGAATCTCGGCGACTAGTTCTCCTGTTGAAGTATCCTGGTATTTGAGCCAACCGGTAGAGCCCTGAGAATCGTTAGTGACAGAAGAATTATCTGATATCATGGGAACTCACAATTGTTGCTAAGAGGTAGTGGTATGGTAGGAACTCCATGTGAGACACCTCCTGGTGTTTCCTCAAAGTATGCAGTTCCACACCATTGTGATCGTAAATAAAGACGTACTTCTTCTGCGCGACCGCAAAGTACTGGTTGTTGTGTAGCCACTTCACATCCCTGATAGTCTCACCCAGCTGCAGCTCGCAACCAAGCTTACCCTCTCGCCAATCCATTGTCGCAACATGACCCTTTCGACCACCAAGCAACAGGTCTCGTCCGTTTCTCGAGTAATCGAACTGATAAGGTCCAAGCTGGTCCAACTTGAGCTCGAATCGTTTTTGCGCAGTCTCTACGGCCACGCCCTCTGTAATATCGTCTTGCCGGACCTTGTATGTTCGTTCCATCTCGTCCTCGGCCTCGAGGAAGCCTGATGTGTTCTCGAGCAGGATCTCGGCATCCTTGGCCTTTAGCGTAGCATCCTGGTACTTGTTCTCGAGACGCTCCATGTTGCTGCGAAGCTTCTTGTCCTTGATAGCTCTGGTGTTGACCTTCTTGCCTCGACCGTAGGCCTTGTGTGCTTCTCGGATCCGACGAGCACGTTCTCGTTCCTCGCGAGAAACAAGTTGCGTTCGGGCGCCTTCAACAGCAGTGGCGCCATTGTCGCGCACTCTTGAGAGGCTCGTATCAGTTCTGTTACCCGCCATATTTTCGTATTGTGAACGCGCTCACTTGGGAAAAGGCAACTTTGAACTGGACGGCAGAATGGATTGGCATACAACTTTCCTTATCGACAAAAAAATTCACAGCTTATCGTTCGGACTCTATTGGCTGGGGAGCCCCACTCAGCTCTGACAGAATAAACGGACATTCTAAATATTCTGCCATAACCAGCATGCGCAATTGAACTCTTATTGGAACCAGAAACTCAAGAAGCATAAGACAAAATAATTTTATCGAATCTATGTTTGATCAATGATGTGAGATCAGGATCATATTGAGTGGCTTATCACATAGCTATTTCGTTAACGCTTCTATCAAGGTAGATGGACTTATAAGAGGGCTTGTTTATGTCAGGTACAAGCCCGCCACTATCGATAAACACAAAAAGATTTTGGATTTAACCCCGCCATCACCGCCTACAATATCGACGATATTGCCATCATTGTGCCTGTAATTCTCACCAAATTCGATATTTTTTCTGTCGCTCAATCTGGCTTCGCTACCGTTTCGATTTAAAGCCGGAGGCGAGAGCAAGATGCCTACCGCTGTGGCTCACCATCATAGGCCGACCACAAAGGTCACAAACAAGGCTTTCAAGTCACGGGCTGCCTCCAAACATGAGTTGAGGGACCGCGCAAAGGGTATGACTGGTTCTTTTGTGCATTTCTTTAAATCATTATTCTAACATCGCATCAGGCCGAGTTTCCGACGACAAGGGAAACCGAAAAACTCCCCATCAACAAGTCATGTCCAAATTCGACCGACGCAACCAGGCCAAGCAGGCTCGTTTGAACAAGCACAAGGAACATGTCAAAGAAACTTCAGTCTTCGCTGGAAAGGATGGCGCTCCTCGACATGTCGCTTTGATCCCTCTTTGCGCTGGTACTGACCTCGACTCCACCATCAAGCAACTGAACAACAGTGTCGATATCGAAGACAACACCGATGGCGGCAACTACCGAGTGTCTGTCGACCGATTCAAGCAAAAGCTACAGTACATCCCTATCGAGCGAGACCTTAACGCCTGTCTTGATGCCGCCCGTGTGGCCGATTTCGTTATTGTCGTCCTTTCCGCCAGTGTTGAGGTTGACGAGTTGGGCGAGTTGATCCTGCGCAGTGTCGAGAGCCAGGGTATGTCCACTCTCTTCACTGTCGTCGAGGGTCTTGACAAGGTCGAGCCTGCGAAGCAGCGACAGAGTGTTTTGGGTTCGCTCAAGTCGTTCATCACCCACTTCCACCCCGAGCAGGAGAAACTCTACAGCATCGAGAACCGACAGGAATGCGCCAACCTTATGCGATCGCTGTGCAGCACAACACCCAAGGGCATCCGATGGAGAGATGACAGGAGCTGGATGCTTGCTGAGGATATCAAGTTCGCCTACTCCGAGTCCGAGCCTACAATCGTTACTGGTATCGTTCGTGGCAAGGGTCTCAAGGCCGACCGTCTTATTCAAGTTGGCGATTGGGGTACTTTCCAGATCGAGAAGATCGAGGCTGCCCCTCTGCCCAAGCAGATCAAGAAGAAGGGCGAGGAAATGACCGTCGACCCTGAAGACACTGGCAAGGTTTTGGACGAGCCTACAGCGGACCGCGACGATTTGGTGGAGCTGGCCCCCGAGGAGGTCATGATGGACGATGACGATGTTATGGAGGCCGACACCACCGAGCAGAAGGGAGTTCTTCTTGATGACCACCACTACTTTTCAGATGAGGAGGCCGAGGCTAGAAAGGTTAAGAAGCGAGTGCCCAAGGGTACATCCGATTACCAGGCAGCCTGGTACTTGGAGGACGTCTCTGACGACGAGTCTGATATGGAAGACTACGTGATGAAGGATGAGGCTGCCGAGCAAGAAGCCCGTCCTGAGGATGGTCTTGAGGGTTGCGCCCCGGCGCCCGCTACGGAGGGTGCTCCTTCAGAATACCCCCAGTCTGAAATGATGCAGGAGCCAGATGAGGAGGAAGACGCTAAGCAGCTTGCCCAATACCGTGCAGGCAAGCGATCAGAAGAGGAGGATGATATGGAGTTCCCTGATGAGGTTGAGATGCACCCTCATGTGCTAGCTCGCGAGCGTTTGGCCCGTTACCGTGGTCTCAAGAGTCTGCGAACCAGTGTGTGGCAGGAGGCTGAGGATCGTGCCCACGAGCCCGAGGAGTGGCGACGTCTTCTCCAAGTTCCCAACTACCAGTCCTCCAAGTCACAGGTTACAAGAGAGGCTTTGGTGGGTGGTGTTGAGCCCGGAACCCGCGTTCAGGTTTACATCAAGGGTATCTCTCCTATCCAGGAGAAGACCTACGACCCCAAGAAGCCCTTGACACTCTTCTCTCTCCTGCGACACGAGAACAAGAAGACCGCTGTCAACTACCTCTTCAACCTCAGCTCCGACTTCACCAAGTCTATCAAGGCTAAGGAGGAGCTCATTGTCCAGTGCGGACCTCGCCGTATGATCATCAAGCCCCTATACTCCCAGCCTGGACAAACACCAAACGATGTCCACAAGTACTGCCGATACATCCACCCTGGACAATCAGCCATCGCAACCTTCATGGGTCCTCTCACATGGGGCGCCGTTCCCGTGCTATTCTTCAAGCGAACCACCGCCGAGGAAGTCGAGAAGAACGAGGAGGAGGACGGTCCCCACATTGGCATGTCTCTTATCGGTACAGGAACTGCCATTCCACCCTCAACATCTCGCGTCATCGCCAAGCGCATTATCCTTACTGGCCACCCTTACCACATCCACAAGAAGATTGTAACCATCCGATACATGTTCTTCAACAGAGCGGATGTCGAGTGGTTCAAGGCTCTACCACTGTGGACCAAGCGTGGTCGCAGTGGTTTCATCAAGGAGCCTCTTGGTACACACGGTTACTTCAAGGCTACATTCGATGGACGTATCAACCCTCAAGACTCTATCGGTGTCAGTTTGTACAAGCGGGTGTGGCCACGAAATGCTGTTCCTGTGGAGGGAAACCTATTGGATGTTGCTACTAGCAATGTGCAGGCGGACGGCGATATGATGATGGATGACCAGGCATAGATTATCACGACATTCGGTATACCTTAGATTTAAAAAGTTGGCGTTTTTTGTTTTCTCTCTTATATGACTCTTTCCAACACTGCCACCTATTTTAGTGATTATGTGATGTTATACTTATTCCAATTGTTCTAGACCCTCTGTTGGTCTGGGTCCTCCTTTGCTTCGTCGCTCTGCCTCTGCGCCACTGGCTTTCCATGCGCTCTTGATCAAGTTGACGATGTGGTTGACGCCAACGTCCTTCTTGACCTGTGCAAAGATCGTAGGGCCTCCCTCACGGATCTTTCTAGCGTCTCTCTCCATCACGCCGAGGTCAGCACCAACGATCTCAGCGAGATCGGTCTTGTTCACAATCAGCAGGTCACTCTGCGTAATACCAGGTCCACCCTTTCTGGGGATCTTGTCGCCACCGCTGACGTCGATAACGTAAATGATGAAGTCGGCCAGTTCGCGGCTGTAGTTCGCTGCGAGGTTGTCACCTCCAGACTCAATGAGAAGCAAATCGGTGTCGAACTCGCGGTGCAAGTCTTCCAATGCAGCAAGGTTCTGAGAAATATCCTCTCGGACAGCGGCGTGAGGGCAGCCACCAGTCTCAATGGCACGGATACGAGGAGGTGGAAGAGCCTTGTTGCGGGTAAGGAACTCTGCGTCTTCGCGGGTGAAGATGTCATTTGTCACAGCGGCGAGAGAGTATTCCTTTCGAAGAGCGAGGGAGAGGGCGAGCATGAGAGCGGTCTTTCCGGATCCGACGGGACTTGTGGATGTTAGTTGAGTGCCATGAGCAATTAATAGAGTGGTTATCTTACCCTCCAATGCCAATCGTGAAGGCTCGCTCTGACCACTCTCGTCCCTCAACGATGGGCATCTCACGACCTAGGAAGCTACCAGGACCATCGAGAATCTCATGGGAGTGGCCATGCTCCTGAGCATTGAAGCCATCATGGGAATGAGTCTGGCCGTCGTGAGAGTGCGACATGATGAATAGCTGTGTGGTTAGTTAAGTAAGAGTGCTTGAAGTCAATCGCGGGAATTGAAGAGGGGAAGCTTTTCGATAAGAGGTCGGGTTGTTAAGTTGCCCTTATCAGTTTGACAGGTCAAGCTTTGGACTAATAAGGGACTTGTACTGCTTGCTACTGGGTACGTGGGGGAGGGGCAGCTGCTTGTGCGTAACCGGCCAGGTACCTAGGTAGGTAAAAGAAGAAATGTTCTCTAAAGCTTAGGCTACCAAAATAAAGTAATCTAAGATCTACTACAATTTAGCATAAAGTAATCCGCTTATTTCGTCTCTTATGATTTCAGCGGTCAATTCTTCTGGCACCCAGGCGCCGGCCTGCGAGTCTGGATGGAAAGGTGGGACTTCCACTTGGATCCAAAAACCTCCGGCTGCCGGCGGCGTTCGAGGCGCCCGGGAAAAGTGGAGTTTGACTTACACCGATTTCCAGGTACTTGGGAACATTAATTAATTCTCCTCTAGTACAATTACAGCATATTTGTTTATCAAGAAGACTTTGCTGGTCTGTCCCGATCCAGTAACCATTGCGATTGCTGCAACTGCCGCGTCTACCGCGCTGCCGTTGCTCATCATATTCCAGCCACTGTATTTTATTCAACGAGCTCATGACACCCTCTCTCTAGCACATCCTGGTTGGCAAATCCCAAGACTACAGTGCTGCTCAGCCCGCAATGCTATGGCGGACGTAATACTCCGTTGCTGATTTCTCTGATACCGATGAACAAGACCCTTGTCTTGATATGACAAAACAGTACAATGTTCGCACGACTCCAGATGTAACACAAAAGCAAAGAAAATGATCCTTCAGTCGGGCGGTTAATCGGATGGCGTTCCGAGCCGTACAAACACATGGTCTTGGAAATTCGGCCATGCAAGCCACTATAAAAGTCTCGACTCTGAACTGATCAGAAGAGAAGAGAGGTTTGTATCAGACCTGAACACCGCATACTCGCCACTAGTAAGCCCTGTAGATCGCTATTATACAGATGCAGCTTCGTGCATGCTGAGATCCCGCAATCTCTCTGTCTCTTAGAATAGCTGGGGCGTGTGAGACAACTGCCGCTGTTGTTGCGTTGTCCCTTGGTCTTGAAGAGTGGTCTGATCGGTCGCCTATGTAGAAGTTGGAACCAACAGGTTATGAGAAGTGATAGGTGCCATGGCCACCCGCTACTTTACGTGGGGTTTCCGCTTCTCCTGCGTGTAGTTATCATATTTTTGCGAGACCGATTTGCGATCACAACTCAGATTTACAATTAGGGCAATAGCAAGGCCTCTCGTCTGTCAGCAAATTCCATCCCAAACTCGGTAAGCAGCTGATCGCTATGATCACCCTGGTGCTTGCCCAACTTGGCAGCAAACACCTGTTAAACAGCTCATATCATGGCTCTTAACAGTTACACAGCATCGACCTTGCAGATCGTGACACTACTATTACACTCAGCTTTAACGGCACAACAATAACGGACTAATCTTATACAGTTACCGGGTGTGTTCTGACGGCCCATGGCTGGCTGAAGTCAACCCACCTCTTCGACCTCGTACCTAGATCTAGGGTTCCAAGTACCGAGACTGCATGAAGGCGGTGTCCAATCATCATGTCTGCCGGACATATTGCCATCTCCAAACCACACAATAGATCGCCTCTAACCTGAAACTACCTTGCATTCGAACTATTTATCGCTTGCATCATCGTATGATTCCCGCTCTGGCATATATCGACTTTACAACGTGGAGTGAGACGCCCTATTCCTTGTCATTTTCGCCCGATCTTGGTTGAGCCTAAGATATTGAGTCTCAGTAACCCCTGTCATTTCTGCATTCAAGTCCGATATTCTAAGTGTCTCTTCTCTCATTGACAGAATGTTACCCTTTGTTTGCTGTAGTGGCACGCCCTCTGATGCAGCGGTTCCAATAGATTTGGGAAATATGATAGATCCCATCAGAACTCAACTGCAAGGTCAGATATGTAGGGGCTGATCTCGATATCTGCAAGTTTCTCAGCTTTTCACAAATCAATTCTGATTTCTCACCCAACGGAGCGGTGACCGAGTACAAGACAAGAAAGCTTTTGTAATTTCCTTCTTTGTAGTAAAGTTATATATGAGTTGAAACCAGCCCCAAGACTTCGTTTCTTTACGGTTCAAACTTTGGTTTCCAGACTTCCTCTACATTTACCACCTCGCCATTTTGGGCTCGAGACGTGACCTACTCTTGCACCTATTGCCCCTTTCTGTAAAACATTCAGAGACCGCAGACCCTTTTAATTCCTAGTATATCACTTCGAATATCTCCAGAACATTATATCGCATAATTATCTACAATGGCTTCTGCTAGGTCCACCATCCAGACGATCACGGCGGGTAGCCCGAAGCAGTTAGTGAAGACAATGCGATAGTTCCGTTATATATAATAACTGATAGCTTGTGACAGAGTTCAGCTACGTGCCGAGATGCTCGACCGGCACATCTATGACACCAGCTCTGTTGGGGAACGACTTTTTTGCACGGCGACAACCACTATCACTGAGGCAGAGAGTACCGATAACATTGCTTCGGTTCCAACTAGACAGGAAGTATTGGAAGATCAAATTATCGAATTTGACTCGGTAATGGGTACCTCTCCCATTCGCAGCCGACTGTAAGATTATGAAAGAGTGTGCATGGGAGGTTGGGCGGAGTGCACTTGGCACTCAATTATTACAGATCAGAACATGTACAATTGACTCAAACTTCCACTCTAACATAGTACTATCTCAGTGTACCATACTTCCATAGTTGCTCCCAAGCTCTACTTTAATCGACTGTTGCATTGTAATACGTGTACTTGATGATCCGTGACAGCCTATCATGGAGTCACGGAAACATTGCACAAATGAAGCTCACGTAGCCGCCTTCTACCACAGACCATCCCCAAGGTCGGCTTACTCCGCACTTATCTCTGGCGGCTAGGACAATAAAGCCAAAGATCCATATACCGGATCATTCGCCGGTTCTCCGCCGAGACGGTTCCACTTTTCCCGAATCGCACGGAAGATGTTAGGGTATCCACTCTTCGGCGGCCGATACGCTTAGTCGGCTGGTTCAGGGGCTATAAGCGCCCGTTTTTGTGTTTTGTCGCCTTAAATGAGGCTCCTCTGCCTTCAGACCCCCACAAAGCCAGCTCTCTCTACGAGGGGTTTTGAGTGTTCATTATCCAGGCCGATCCGGAACTGACTTGAGAACCCGGGACACCGGAGCTCCATGCCTATCAAAGTTGGCGCTCTCCTTCCGGAATTACATTTGGAAAACCCCTCGTATCACTATAGATCTACCTCTCTCTTCGGTTTTTTCTCTTTGGTCCATGTATGGCGCCTCCGAACTCCTTTCAAATCCCCAATCGTACATACTATATATGTACAGCCCTGCCACTACCTGCCATCCCGTTCCCTACTGTTTTAAATCGTACAAACTAATATATTATGTCTTCTGAAGAGACTAATCCACCATTGGATGCTGAGAAATATTATGAAGGGTAGGTGGGCTCGAAATGTCACGTCCGCCTACAAACTAACTCGTATCCAGACACTGATACAGCCACAATACTCAATCGATACATCTATGACACTTCTTCTCTCCAAGATCACCTCTCTCAGCTTCAACTATATTAGCATGGGCCCTCTTCCCACACAGCTCCTGCCGGTCCTGTGACTGACGTGGCGCAGCAAAATACAACTGCAGACCAGAGCAGACTTTGAACGTTCTCTCACATACCGATGGCATACAATTTTAATACTGTTGCCTCTTTTTGACCCCCCTTTCCTCTTCGCTCGTTCATAGTTTACATATGATGAACACCTCTCAATTCGCTCCGACTGGTTTCAGTAATAGTTATAGTCCTAGTTTAATTACATCGAGTGAAGGTTTGGATGTACTGTATCCCTCATTCACTCGTCTTCATTACACAATCCATTTCATCTCTTGTACTGTATTCGCTTCATTTGCATGTTTGGCATCTCGTGTTAGCTCTTAGCACGCAGGTTAGCTTACCGTCGCAAATCCATACATGCTCCCGGCCCATAGTGGGAATGACGACTGGTTAAGTTACTGCCACCATTTGGTACTCTCTTCAGGCCAAGTTAAAGTATGGAAAGAGGAAGAATGCATCGTCAGTATGGTCTTCGCTATCTTGGAGCAAATCGGATGTCTCCCTATTCCGATAATCTGCAGATATCAGATGTGGACATAGCCTCATACTGATACAGTAGTAAGTTAGCGGTGGGCTTTCTTTCGTTTTTGGAAGAGGAAAATCTACAGGGAGACAATAATTTGAGACGTCAGCAGCCACTTACGAGCGAAATGTAGGGAGGAAAGATATGCACGGAATTACAGAAGCGGAATATCAACCAGGATAGCATCGGGTTCCCAAGGCTGTGTCATTCAGCCTGGGAACTTAACTTTTCTCGTCTGTACATCAGAATCTATCATATATGAGTGCTCACCGCCACGAGAGTTGGGGAATTGGGGGGCCTCAAACAGGACCGAGACTGATTCTTTGCGGACGAGGCTGAGCAGCTGGGTTCAGTAGAGCCTCATCTAGATAGACAGAGTCCTCTATCTTCCCTCTTTCCTCTGCCCCAACAAGGTCTAACACGAAACTGTCAATTTAATTAAGCGAAAGCCTATGTAAGTCGTGCAGAATCGAGTCTCGCATTGTCCGATCGGAATTGTATGCAGCCTCCCACCCACATGTGATGCAATGTGCCCTCCCGAAACTAATATTTCATCATTGAGCCCTGCCAGAGGCAATGTTGCCTAAAGATATTGACATTCACCGCTTTTCAAAAGTCTTCAGCAGACGAAAATGTAGATGCGGGTGTGTTGCGGCTCATTGGCTTATGCCTCTTGGTTGTGTCCTGTCTTGTAACACAAAGTATTCGGAAATCGTTACTCGATGAAGGTCCTTAACGCGGGGAGCTTGTCTTGTTCCCAAAAGGGGAGGTCTTAAAAAAGTAACCAGGTTCCTGGTTACACACCCAACACACCCAACACATGTCTCTACTAGTCTACATGTGTTCTGCATACGTCAAAAGGGATCTTTATCTTGGTGCTGTAAGTAGACATCACCGCCTTTTAGTTACTACAGACCGAGTTTCTCAATACTGATTCTGTTTCTGTCTGAGGGCTGCACTTTTGCCTCTGAAGATCCTTTTTTGCGTCACCGGTCAAGTTGGGCTGTGTTTTGAAATGCGGGCGTACTGTTGCCCGGCAGCTTAGGTGGTGGGTGTTGTTGCGTTGAGGCCTTCGTGAAGAGCTTTTCTTTCATAATGGCCACTCACTCAGTACAGGACTCAACTACCATTAACTCGTATATAAGGCAACTGACTTCTCTGTTACGATAAATTGTTCATGTATCTTAATCATGGTTCTCTTGCGACACAGCCCTTAGTTATCAGATTCGAATGGAGCAGAGTTGAAGCTCAACGACTATTCCATTCTTGTCTTCTCGTTGATCCTACCACGCTCTTTATATTACGCTCACAATATACTTCTCTGTATCTCAACTTACTTACACCGCCTTACCTCCATCATGCCGTCCAACTCGAGTCAGACTCCCACCATTGCTACGGGAGGAGCCGCACAGTAAGGTGACACTCCGCCTTATAGCTTGCCACAAGGCTAACAGTTTCCCAGAACACAAACAGACAACTCTATGCTGGCCTGTTACATCTATGACACAACTTCAATTCAGGATCGCCTTTTTATTAGAGCCATGGTGGAAGATGATCAGTCATCAAAGACGGAGGCTGCTGGCTCGGAGCCGAAAAACTCCAAGCTATAAACTATTTCTCTCGAAAGATCAAGCAGTGTTTATACCCGGTGGCTGTATTGTACTCGGACGTTTTTCTTTGCTTACCTACAACATATATCAATAAGATCCATGAAGACCCTTCACTCATGAACCTCGCCCGTATAACCAACCCCCTGTTGTAAGCGTAGAGATGAACAACCAAGTAGATCAGCGGTCAAGTCATTCTTGACAGGGCAAGTATTCAAATCTACCTTGTTCCCCAGTATTAATTGTTGGTCTCTCTATGGCATTTGATACTTAAGCTCCGTAGAGTGACCCCTGAATGATCCTACCTCGTACATTTCGACGGTTGGAAACCATGCCCTATAGCTTGGCATATGCGCGAAAAGAGCAAACAGTCGATTCAATGAAGAGACAGGAAAGTGCGTCTATTTTACGCCTCATGATGTACATTGTTGCACAGATATAATTACACGTTATTCGTACCACTCGTGGCACATCATCCACTATCCAACCCTCAGCCATGCACCGTCTACTATTTCCATTTATTGAGTTGGAGGTGTTGTCGTTGATGAAGGTAATGAAGCATCTGTCGCCGCAACCTCTGACACACCAGCCTTCTTGAGAGCAGCATCCTTGCGCTGTGCAATAATAGCACCAAGCTTCTCCAACATCTGCTCGCTGAGCTCGGGTTCGCCCTCCTCGGCACGCTTCTCGCGCTGCATCTCGTGGAACTCCTGCAAAGGAGTCTGCATGGACTTGATAGACTCCAAACGGGCCTGCTTTGTCATGGCCTCGGCCTCCTTCTGTTGCACGTACCAATCCTCGTGACGTGTTCGGAACTTGGAGAACTTGTTTCGGAGTTCGTCGATAATGGTCTCTGGCATAGGTGGAGATAGAAGGTTGTAGTAGAAAGTTCGTTCCTCGGCATCCGCTCGGATAGTGTCGCCCTCGAAGGTTTCCGCTTTGGGGACTTGCACCTCAGGCCAAGGAATGACGACGTTGATTCCTGGGACAATTCGATCCCACTTGTATCCGTGCTCCCATCTGTCGAGTGTCATATTAGGGGACTTCATGTTTGGTGGAATAGCCTTGAGCTCGTGGATGACAACGTCTCTTGTCGTTCCGGTTTCGGGGTTGGTGATAGGATAGACGAGGCGGATAGCATCGATAGCGAGAGGCATGGGCTGAGAGCGGGCGTCGTTTCCAAACATACCCGAATTGATAGCCTACAATCATTAGCTTTTATCTAGCCCTCAGATACCTGTCATTCTTACCCGGTGGTGTGTCTCAAGAGTAACATGCCCCGCCTGAACGTTGATCGACCTGATGCGATCGATCTTGCCCTTGTCAGGACCATCCATGATTACCACTCGGTCAGAAACGGCCAGGTTAAGCTGGTTGACGCCGCCAGCCCAGGCACATCTCTTCCTTAGAATTTCCGGTCGAGGGTTGTAAAGACCGTAGTTGGACCAATCCGTTCGTACACCTTCATTGAACATGCCATAACCGTTGAATCCCAAATCACGCTTGGGAGCAATAGGACCCAACTCCCAATCCTCCTGTCGAGCACGGCGCGCATCCTGAAGATTCTGACGGACCTCAGAAACAGCCGCTCGGATGGCCTGTCGGTTTCGAAGTTTGTAGTTCGTCTGTTCGCTTTTGGCGGCCTTTGTGGCTCGTTTGCCGGCCTGGCGCTGGGCCTGGGCGACCCGCTTGGCGAGCTTCTGCATGGCGGAGAAAGAGCTGCGGGGATTTATCGAGGGGATTCGCAGGCTCTAGCGGCTCATTGAGCGGATTGAAGCTGTCGACGCCGAGTTGTCGCTTTGGGCGTGACGATAATTCGTTGTGGAGTGGATGATTGAGCTGGAAATTCTCGACCATCGAACGGAATTAGCCGCAGTAGTGGGGGTGCGTGTAATTGATGCGCACTGTCCCCCGCACTATGCTCATGATAGCCTCATGCCGTTCCCTTTTAGAACCATGATGAGGATTGACGAACTTTTTCCGTAAGTAGGAAACATAGTCTGATAGCTTATCTTTTGCATTAGCTAGCATAATAAGCTCATAGACTCTATGATCTTGGGTATGATCAAAATTAAATGACTTCTCCAATCTGATTTAGAAGCAGTGTTGTTTGAAGGAATTCATGTGTATCAATCTTACTGAGTTTCCTTCAGTCTCAAAATCTCTCGAGAGCCTGGCTTAAGATACTTCAATCATGCTAACACTCGGCCGACTCCTAACTTTCCATCTGAAACTGCAGCCAAGTGTAACATATGAACGAACGCTGTAACAAACCACATATAATAAATGTAGCAGATATTATCTGAATGATAACATGATAAGGGAGTCAGAATGACTTCTAATTGGCCATCGAATATGCATTCCTCCAGGCAGGATATATCATAAGATCACATGCTATATCGCAGCGTCCAAAGTCCCGCTCTTGTTGAGGCCTCTGAAGATGAACTGTCAGGACTGTGGGATCAGCACTTGTTCGTTAGTGAAGGAATGCACATGCATGAAGACTCATCCTCTATATACCTATCACGACTATCTCACATCATTCAGGTGGCAATTGATGAATACGTGATCCAGTCAACGCTTATCCGTATGAACAACTCAGGGTCACTCAGGGTTCACATCGTCACTGGACCTTTCACTAGGCATTCAGGGGAGGTTGGATGAAAGTCCTACGCTTTTGGGGCAGCGTAGGACTTTTCCGTCCGCTACGAGCTCTCTGACTGGACGCTCTGTGTTCTAGACATTTGGCCTGGGCAAGCGGAGGCGGGATGGCACAGCACGGAGCTCCGCCATGCATTGCATGACGGACCAGGGGTGGGAAGCTTGTGCCAGCTTCACTTTGCATGGACTATCTTCTGAAGACAACGTTATTGATGACGCGGAAGTTTGGTCAGGGAGACTTTGAGATGAAGTTACAGAGAAGAAAGGGCATTGTTCATATTATTCTAAATGTAACTCATCAAAGATCACTTGTCATCAACATCAAACGAACATGCACAGGCCGCAGTCATAATCTGTTGGCGATAACCGCCAGATCCTAGCCGGAAATCTCCCAAAAGAAGACCTCCTCAATCTCCTATGGAATTTGTTCCCAATGCCTGGCCTGGCCTAGAAAAGCTAATTCGCGATCACGGGGTTTCGGCTGGTTGTTGTTTATTAGTTTCGTCTTGTCCAAATGAGCCACGGTTTCAGCCTCGAGCTATGGAGCCTAAAGCGTTCCATCGTGTATGGATGAGATGATACAACTTAAGCAGCTAACTTAAGTTAAAGCCAACAGCAACAGTTGTGTACAGCCAGGCTCTGTTTGGTGGGCCAAGAAAGAGTGTGCACGTCAGACCGATAGAAACAGAGCACAACGTGATGGCTATGAATGATGATGGCGTTTGGCGGTGGTGATAGTCGAACGGCTGACCGTAGTGGTAGGCAAGGAGTCAAACTCTTTGTAAAGAATCCATGACAGCATATGCTGTTCTTTCTCACTGAAGTGATAGATTGTTTCAATGTCCATTATCCATTGACTAACAGTCCTCTCAATTAAATGAAAAAAGCTCTCTACAAAGGACAAGGCCCGTTACCCTTGACCCTTGATATTCTCCGTCATCCAAGCCCAGTGACTGGTTCATTTTAAGTGTCGATATAGGCAGGCCCTTATCTCATCTCGTCATCATTGTCGCTGGCACTGCTCACTTACTCTTTCCGAACCGTTTCAGACTCACGTAAATGGACGACGACGCAACACGACGCAACCTTTGAGGTCAGAAAGCAACAAAACAACATGTTATGCAGAGACCTGAATGGAAGCAAGTGCAGATGAGCTGCCACTGAGAGTTTCCATGGCGGAGCACTCTCGGTAAGATAATATGGGTCAGGTAATTCCCCCTCCAGGGAAGTAGCCCAGCCCGCCCTGGAAGGCTTGTAATGCGCACCGCCCTCACACTGTGCGAAGACTCCACTAATCATTCACTGAATAGGGGACGGTGTTAGCGGTTGTTGCCACCCACCGGCCACCAGCCAGGGCCACGGGGTGCCGTTGGCTGCCTCAGGAAGGACGGGCGTGGACCCTTTTTTCCGCGTAATGTGACAAGAGGTACCGTTCGTGTGGTAATATCGGTGAAAGAGTACATGCAAAGTTGACGGTCCAGGGGAACACGGGCATTCATCATCATCAAAGAGCCCCAGCAGCTCGCAGCCCCAGCAACAGAGACGTTCAAACATGGAACAAAAGCTCACAGCCTGCCAGGGCCTGACTGACAAACCCAGTTGTAAACATTGCCAGGGCTGTTTTGTTTTGTTGCTTTTTAATTCTTGGGTCCAACAAAGATTCAGAAGGCTTATCGGTTCTTTTTAACGGTACTGCAATCGACGCACCGTTCACTTCATTAGACTCAAAGGATATGAGACAAAAGAGACAAACGATGCATACCGAAAGGGACTCAATGGATTAATCAATGGTGTCGGTACAGCCTCTAGGCCATGTTCTGATTGAGAACCAGCCATAAGCCAGGCTATTTTCAGCTGCCATTGTCCACTAAGTGTCTATCAAAACACAGTGCGACTTCTGAACGCCCGGCCGGCCTTCATCATCCTCAACAACCCTGCCTGAACCCCAGCACCTGTGACCTCTGACACCTGGTACCTGATTCCCAGTGCATTTCGCATCTAACTCAGAAGTACCTTTTGTCCTGTCGACCTGCCCTGGCTGCCTGTTGTCCTGTGCTTGCCCGTTGTCCTATCCAGCCAGTCCTGTCCAGTAGCTCTTCGGGTCCTGGAAAAAAAAA